TAACTGTCATAAATTTAGTCATCACTTTATCGTAAAGAAGATAATAATCTAGATGAGAGCTGGATTAACAATAGAGTATTTTCTTCAATGTAAGTAAATTAAGTTAGGAAAAGCAGCCCTTTGTCCATTCCTTTCTGCACTGGGGGGGCTGGCTAGAAGAACAGATAAACACTTGGCCATCAGTTAAGATGGTACATTGTTCAAATCATATCGCAACTGCAGAGGTGCCAATCAATTGTGGAATAAATTAGCCACTAATAAACTAAGAGCAACCTTTTTTTTTTTTTAAAATGAATTTCTTTCACATAGTTAGTGCTGGTGTTCTGGTGGCAGATATCTCTGTATTTGCTGAATAAAAGTAACCTGTACCTAGAGAGTTTGTGAAGGTGAAAGAGTCCAAATAAACTTCACCATTTTATTGCAGCTCTATTTCATGGAAACTCAAGAAGGCCAGCAGGGAACGTTAAACTCTAGATAATATGATTTCATTACCTTCAAGCACGGTATCTAGGGGTAGGTATTGCCACCAGGAATATGGCAGAGCCACTGGAAGGCTGAGTGAGCATCTGCATCATTTCTCATAATCGTGACAGCAACAAAAAGAACATTCACTGGCATATCAGGAAATAAATGAGGTGTTTGTGTGTTTTGGGGGTGTCTTCTGGAATAAGAGAACATTATCATCTCTTGGAACCTTGAATTACTATCAGCAGCTTGAGCTTCTCCTTGGTTTTGCATTCAGCAGTGTGTGCACTAGCTTTCTCCACTGAAATGTTCTGCCCGTTCATGTTTGTAAACCTCTGTTTTTTGTTTGGTTTTTTTTTAACTTTTTCTGGTAGCATTTGATCACTAGGTATAGTTCCAATTGTTTCTTTATGTATACAATAATGGAATAGCAAGCAGGGTTCATGCTTCCAAAAGCATGTCACCTTTCTAGAGTTGCATTGCAGCTCTATTGGTCTAGTAAAAATGTTAACTCTCTGTAATGCTTGTCTCTAATACAGTGTATCAGTGGAGATATTTCAGCTAGAAATGCTGTCAGTGAAGAGGGAAAAGATTGTCCAACTTCTTGCTAACGGTGCCTTTTACCTTGCTGATTTCTAGAGTTTGGTGTTGCATGAGTATTGGTGTAAATCTAGTTTAATGCAGAAATATACTTTTGCTTTTGAAGGTGTCACATTCTCTTGGTCTGGGCCTGAGGTCAGAGCCTCTCTGAGCTAAATCTGTTCTGATATAGATTTTACTACTAAACAAATGAGCAAAGTGCATGTTTTATTTCAATAATTCACTTAGTGTGCAATACTTGTCTCATTTGTGAAACATATTTTATGTGTTCCAAGTTAATTTCTAAATATAAATATGAAGTGAAGTGATTTGAAAGTTGTCTATCAGTGGGGAAACCACAGAGCAGCCACTCTCTAGATTCCTTTGACTTTCTAAATATAAATATGAAGTGAAGTGATTTGAAAGTTGTCTATCAGTGGGGAAACCACAGACCAGCCACTCTCTAGATTCCTTTGTACAAAGAACTTCTCCAGTTGTCTACATGTAGCCCCGTAGTGCCATATCAGATGCCCCAATATATTCCGTCTGGCTTCCACTCAGGAGGGTCATGGTCATCTAATTCACAAAAAGGCATCTATATTTAGATGCTTTAATCACAAACTTGTCTCTTCCTAGCTGACAGAAGGGCATTTTACTGCTCAGAGATCAGGGATTGGAAATGGCACCCTGGTTAGTGGAGGTAGCTCCTGATCTTCTGAACTTACACTTTGCAGATGTCGTTCAGAAGGAATAAGGCAGCCTCTAGTGGAGTGGAGTAAGAGCTAAAACTTTACAGGCAGATTTACTAAGGCATTGGAGAGGGAAAGTGTAAATCCCCAAATGATTCAAGGATAGGATGGGTTATGAAAGCTGCACAAGAAAGAAGTACTCTCCAATGCCATTGGCAGGAGGGATCCTGAGAGCTTGCCTCAGAAAAGCACTGACAGCTGGGGAGGAAGAGAAAGACTGCTAGAATTTGATTTCCATATGAAGAGATGCAAGAATTCCTCAGCTACGACTTTGCAAATATTTGTAGCAATGCTGTTTGTTTTCAATGCTGTAAATATTTGTGTTTTACTATCACTTGTCTTGATTTAGAAGTGGGTTTAGTGTGACAGGCACAACATTAAAGTGTGCTTCACACAAGGTAGCACTGAGTGCTTCCTCCTGCCCTCCAGCTTTCTTCCCCTTGAGCATGGCCATTTGTTCAGGGAAAAGGAGCCATCTCTCCTGCTTCAGAGGGCTTTGGCTGACCCAGAGTGCAACCCTCAGGATGTCGTAACTGGTCTTGTCTGCTTTGGGTTATATCCTTTAGCAGCATGTAACTTAATAATAGGAATAAAATTAACCCTGAACAAGCAAAAAAATTATCTACAAGAAATTTGGTGTGTTGGAATTAAGATAGCTGTGATTTCTCTCCCCTACACTTGTGGTTCTTGGGGGATCTGTGACTTTTCTTGAACACGTAGATTCTGCCTCCCGAGCTGGGAGGAAATATTTGATGGATTAATCTAAAAACAAGTGGGAGAGAGAAAGTAAATTCTGTGGAACTTCCTTGACGTTTTTAGTCAGCTATTCCTGTCTCAACACCGCCTGCCTGTGTCACCAGCAAGGCAAGCTTTTGTGCTGTTCCCTTTGGTGTTGATATGGCCTCAGATGACAGTCCTTGAGGCAGAACTCTGGATCTTCAGGTATACAGAGAACAACAGCAAAATGAAGGGATCTCACAGGTGCCCAACTTTTGTATTGCATTTGTATTCAAAATGCAGTTAAAAGTATTTTTTGCACCAAATGAGACAAAATTGTTCATGCGGCAGATAGGTTGACCTCTGAATTCTTTTGCCTGGGAGTGAGCTTGTACTTTAAATATACAGGGGAAGGAAATTACCTTTATAAACAATGGCAGAAGGAAGTAGTACTTTCAGTACTGTCTGGTTTATATAAGTTTGTTGGGTTTTTTTCCTAATCTACATTGCTATTATACAGCACGTAACGTGAATATATATTCCCAGCTACCAGGTACTGTCTCCGATAAGTGCCATTTTGGGACCTTGACTTCAATGTGCCATCCTGTTTGTGATATGCAAATCTTGCCAGCTGCAGCTGTGAAGCTCAGCCTGCCGTGGCTGGCAGGGACCTCAGGGGACTTCTTAGTCTCATTTCCAACTCTTAGGCATCGTACCTAGACTATCTCTGACACGTTTGAACTGCTGTTAAACATTTAATGAAGGAATTCAATAGCATTTTTCAAGTAGCTTGATACTGTTTTGACCATCCTTACAGTCAGAAGGCCTTCTGTATACTCAAGTTGAATTTTCTTTATGCCTTCCCTGCAGTTGTCACAGGAAAATAGAAATGGCTATTTAATTTTTCCAGTCTTTTATGTTTTGGTAAACTATTTTCCTATTCCCTCTTAGTGTTCCTTTTTCTGGAGCAGTCAAACCCACCCCTTTCCTGTGCCCAATTCATTCTGGTTGCTTTATCTAAACTGTTATCTATTTGTCTACTCGTTTCTAACAGCTTTTTGGTCGAAGTTTGCATTATTGACTGCTTTTCTACATGCATTTATTTTAAACCAGAACCTTTCCTTTCTTCTCCCCCCCTCCCCGTTTGACCTATCAATTCCTCATGTTGGATTTTCATTTGCTAAGGTAAAGGTTATGTAGTTGGGAAAAAATAAAATCTGTCTTGGTACATATTTTTTATAGTTTGCCTGAAACCACACAATCTTTGTTTTCCCATTATTTTTACTTTCTTGAATCCTTGAGTTAGTCTGAACTTGAAACAAAAATGAAGTAATTCTGCAAAAGTTACTCTTTTAAAATGCTTGCCTAAAGCTGAAAGCAGGTCTGGGTACTTCTTGCAGTATTTCAGATATCTAAATTTTCTACTTTTCTAGTTATAATCCAGTGTTAGGCCTTGACCAAAGGCAAAACAAAGATGCTGTAAAAGGTGTGTCTAAGGAAAAAAAAGTATTTTCATGTTGTTACGATTAAAGATGAATGTAGTTGCATTGGTCACTGTGTAGATAAACATCCCACACCAATGTTTACTGATGATGCAAACCAGGAGGAGCTGTGGGCTCCCTGGAGGGTAGAGAGGCCCTACAGAGAGATCTGGGTAGACCAGAGAGTTGGGCAATCACTGAACATGCGAAATTTCACAAAAGCAAGTGCCGGATTCTGCATCTGGAACAGGTTAATCCTGCTTAAACGTACAAACTGGGGGACAAGAGCCTGGAGAGCAGCCCCGTGGAAGGAAATCTGGGGGTTTGGGTTGATGGCAAGTTGGTTATGAGTCAGTAGTGTGCCCTGTCAGCCAAAAGGGTCAACTGTGTCCTGGGGTGCATCAAGCACAGCATTGCCAGCTGGTCAAGGGAGGTGATTGTCCTGCTCTACACCACACTGGTATGGCCCCACCTTGAGTACTGAGTGCAGTTTTGGGCACCTCAATGTAAGGACATCAGACTATTCATCAAACTGAGAAAAGTTCATTCTAAGAAAAACATCACTGGCAGGGGTTTTTTTTTGATAGTTTGCCCCATCAGCAAAATTAAAGTTATTAGATCTTCTGAAGATTTCTAAGGCTGCTGATGTAGAGGCCGAGCTTAAATGAGGACCATATAACTGAAATACAGTGAAAACCTAATATCAGGATCATGTGGAAATTTTGCAGGGATTTCAGATCTGTTCCTGATTACTTTGCTAGTCCATGTGTTTAAGGAATTTGCAGACTTCAACATGTATAGAAGAAAAATGACTAAGCATAATTTCTGGATGGTTGAGCAAGAAGGGAATAGTCCGTAGATTTATAATACCCAAATATCTGCATATGGTTTTGGAACACTAGAAGTCTTTTCCTGGGAAATACTGATGCTGGAGGTAATTGCCCCCAAATGGTTAAGGCCTGTTTGCTTTCATTTAACTCCTTTTTTTTGGGTTTTTTTTTCTCCCCAGGTAGCAGCGGCTGGAGGACGTCTCAAATTTACAGTCTCATATGACTTCACAGAGGAAGAAGATACAGTTCAATTGATGGTTCAATCTGATGTCATCATAGAGGTAAAGTGATTTTATTTTCAGCCACCAACAAACAAAAAGATAGAAAGAAAATTGCCTACTTCTTTGGATGTTCAGCATGAAGCCTAATGGTTGAGGACACAAAACAGCAGGGTGCATGTACTTTCAGATAATTTATAGTATCAGAAAATGGACACACTTTAGAGAACAAAAATCTTCAGTATCTCAAGGAGCCTCTAGTAATATTGCAGTAGCTTAAAAAGCTATATTCTTCCTGTTCATCAGGAAGAATGAAGAAATCCTTGTGTCTACATTGGAGAGAGATGGATTTGATGGATGGACCACTTTGTGGATAAGGAACTGGCTGGATGGCTGCACTCAAAGAGTTGCAGTCAATGGCTGAATGTCCAAGTGGCAAGCAGTGATGAGTGGAGCCTCTCAGGGGTCAGTACTGGGACCAGTGCTGTTTAATATCTTTGTTGGCAACATGGACAGTGGGACAGAGTGCACCCTCAGCATGTTTGGTGACGACACCACGGTATGTAGTGTGGTTGACACACTGGAGGGAAGGGATGAGAGTGCACCCTCAGCAAGTTTGATGACGACACCATGAAGGACTTGGGGGTGTTGTTGGATGAGAAGAAGCTCAACATGACGACACACTGGAGGGAAGGGATGACATCCAGAAGGACCTGGACAGATTTGAGAGGTGGACCCTCATGAAGTTTAGCAAGGCCAAGTGCAAGGTCCTGCACCTGGATTGAGGCAATCCTAAGCATGAATGCAGGCTGTTAGAGGATGGATTGAGAGCAGCCCTGAGGAGAAGGACTTGGGGGTGTTGTTGAATGAGAAGAAGCTCAACGTGACCTGGCAATGTACAAGGCCAAGTGCAAGGTCCTGCACCTGGATTGAGGCAATCCTAAGCATGAATGCAGGCTGTTAGAGGATGGATTGAGAGCAGCCCTGAGGAGAAGGACTTGGGGGTGTTGTTGGATGAGAAGAAGCTCAACATGACCTGGCAATATGTGCTGGCAGCCCAGAAAACCAACTGCATCCTGGGCTGCATCAAAAGAAGCGTGTCCAGCAGGGCGATGGAGGGGATTCTACCCCTCTACTCCAGTCTGGTGAGACCCCACCTGGAGTACTGTGTCCAGCTCTGGGGCTCCCAACATGGGCATAGATATGTTGGAGCAGGTCCAGAGGAGGCAACGAAAATGCTCTGAGGGCTGGAGCCCATCTGCTGTGAGGACAGGCTGAGAGAGTTGGGGGTGTTAAGCCTGGAGAAGAGAAGGCTCCAGGGAGACCTTAGAGCCCCTTCCAGTCCCTCAAGGGGCTCCAGGAGAGATGGGGAGGGACTCTGGATCAGGGAGGGGAGCTGTAGGATTAGGGGGAAGGGTTTCAAACTGAAAGAGGAGAGATTTAGATGAGATCTCAGGAAGCAGTTCTTTCCTGTGAGGGTGGTGAGAGCCTGGCCCAGGTTGCCCAGAGAAGCTGTGGCTGCTCCATCCCTGGAGGGGTTCAAGGCCAGGCTGGATGGGGCTTGGAGCAACCTGGTCTGGTGGGAGGTGAGAGGGACATTGGAACGAGATGATCTTTAAGGCTACTTCCAACTCTAACCATTCTATGATTCTGTGAAATAAAATCATTGTTTGTTTGAGGTAGCACTTTCACATTCTTTCAGCAGACCTGGTTTTGTGCCGCGTGGCACTGGACGGATTAGCTTTTGCCTTTGCAAAGCCCTGACAGTAGGTTTTAGCAGAATAACCTAAACTTTCTTTTGCACTTTCAACTGTATCAGGCAAGCCCATTTCAGGGTTATGAAAGGTGAATGTTATTCCTGATATTTATTATTCTTATAAAATATATTATTCAATAAATCCTATGCCCCAGCTGGCTACAGATAAAGCTTTTTTCCTGATTTTTTTTTTTTTCCTAATTTAAATATCTATCTCTCATGGCTCTACCCAGGGAGGTGACTTGCGAATCAACGCTCCAAAAGAAGGGATTCACCTGCCGCCTTCTGAAGAGCACACTGAAGAAATTGTGCTGAAACCAGAGTCTTTCTTTGTGCATGGCACTGATGTTCCTGTCAGCAGGAGGGAGTTCATGACTATCCTTGCAAATGTGAAGAGGATCCTCATCCGAGCCCCGTACAGCTATGGGCTGAATGCCATCTACAGGTGAAGGAGGGAAACTTGTCTTAAAATACTTGTTTTTCTGTCTTCAGAGAATTCAGCTGATGTAATTTCAAACACACAAATTTATTACCATGAAATCCATAGCACTCATTTAAACTTTCAAACATTTTGTTAGTATTTTTTTTTTCGTTTTGGGGAGGCAGGAGGAGGAGAGGCACCAGAAAGAAAAAGCATTGTAAGAAAATAGAATCACATGGACTATTAAGGCATGAATGACGGTTCTATATATTTATTTATTTGTGAACACTGTAATTCCCGTGTATGTGGTAAATCATGGACTGCAGTAATGACACGTGGAAGTAAGAGATGATACATTGCTTATATATTGTTTTCCCCATTTAATGAGAATACAGGGCCACATTAACAGTGGACCAGAGAACAATATCCTAAGTCTCTAAGCTGGAAAAGTGGCTCGAGGGGAGTTTTTTATGTTATGTTTTTAATCAGTACCACACACAGAAATGGCTAATCCCAAAGCCTTTCCCTTGATTTATGTCAGGTTGCTGCCTGGACTGCTTAAAATGATTTCATGTGAACTCTACCGAGTTCTTCTGATAAAATGAAAGACATGTTACATGAGATGGCACAGTTGTTCTGTCTCAGTGGCTGCAGGGAGGTTGAACCTGTAACTCTCATCTTCCATTTAAATTCTTGATAAGTGCAGGAGGAAATGCTCCAGGTGGGCGAGAAGAAAACCTCTCTCCTGATAGTGTGTGATTGCAGTCTCTCTATACATGGATGCTTAGGTGGCATAAATAGTATTTTTGAAATGTGCCACGGAATTGATTGCGTGGTAGTTTTCTACTCACAAGGCATGAAACCTGAAACGTTCTCTAACCTACACATCACTTGGTTCAGCAGCACAAGTCAATTTGGAATGGAGGGAGCTGATGGCACATTAGTGATTATTTGCTGAGAGTAAAGATACAGTTTTTGCTACTGTGAAATTTCTTAAGCAATCCAACCATCATTTGAATACTTAGGTAATTAAAAAACATCCTAAATTGAAAGGCAGGTTGTGTCAACAGCACAGTTTTCTGATTTGAGCTTTGACAGCTTACATTTTTTCCCTGCAAAAAGAACTCATGTTTCTTCAATCTCTTTCTCTTTCTGTAGTTAATTAGTATGTATTACCTCTCTGTAAATAAGTCTGTGAATCATAACTAGCTTGAGTTTAAGCCAAACTGTTTCCTCATCTGCTCACTTGGTCGTCAATCTGGCATCTCCTTGCATCCTGTCTGAAACCCTTTCGTGGCCCATCACCTTCCTACCCTGGTGTGAGAGGAGACACAAACCACCTCACCTCACTGTGAGCAGACCATGAGAAGCTCCACTCAGTTCCCATTCAAATAAAAAAAAAAATAATTAGAATTTTCCATACTAAAGGAGTGCAGGAGTAATTTTGGGCTGAATGACAGAGGCTTTTATGCTACAGTATTTTAAAGGAGATATGTTTGATTGACTTTGTTTGGGCCAAAGGTGTTACTAAGTATTATGGGAAATGCAAATTTCAGCTGTCAGTGGTTTACATATATTTGTGTACCTACACTTGCCCTAGAATGAGAAGGGGAACTTTCCTACAAACCCCACTTTGGCTAGGCAGCTAAAATCTGTGAAGAAAGTGAATTGCTGGACGTTTACTGGCTCCATCTTGCCTCTGCTGTGGGACAGTGGGGGTGGGATGGATCAGGTGCCCTCTGGTGAACACATAGAGCTCAGGTCAGCACACCCATGTGGAACTGGCAGAGTCTATAGTTCCTGCCTCCTGAGTAAGAGGTGGCAGACCTGTCAGGAGCACCTTTGGAGACTGCACCACCACCTGCATCCCAGATGACTGCTTCAGCCATTTGGCCATGTGTAGGGCCTCCCTGTTCCATAGTCTTGGTCATATTCAGCCTTTGCAACATTTTAGTGGTGTGTTCTAGATAACTTTCCAAAAACACATCTTGGAAATAGTCTTCAAGAACAGCTCCAGGACAAACATATCATTGTTTGCAGTTTAGTAGGCACCATCTTCTACATGCAGCGACAGAAAAATTGGGAAGATTGGTCCTTTAAAGACAGTGATTTAAAAGAGAGTTGGGGAAGGGACTGAAGTCATTTTGAAGAGCACCTTTTTTTGTCTAGAAATGGTTTTATATTACTGGTACATCTCTAGCTGTCTTTAGATGTCTCCTAACAGAGAAGAATGCAAAGGTTACTGTATTCCTGTGATGACCATCAGCATGTCCTGAAGTCTCTGAAAATAGATTTCTCTAAAGTAAACACATTGAGTGCTGTCAGGGTGCTCCTTGCAGTTTAGTGTGACAGAAGAGAGGGCGGGAAGTTCCAGTGACAATTAACTGAATTGGATTTTTCCTCTTTGATTTAACTGGAGGAATTGTAATTTCCCCAATCAGGGTGGGAGTTAATCTTCTCAGAACAATGTGCGCTCACACTCATATGATGTAGCAGCAACAGCATCTATTGCCAAAAAAATCAGTGTAGGGCTAAGCCTTAGTGGATAAATAGGAAGTTTTTTATTGCCTTTTAAACAGGTATGTGTGGTGGACAGATGGATACTCCTCTGAGAGAGTTAAGAGGGTCTGGCAGGGAGGCAGAAATGTTACAGGGTTATTAGATCCTTCATGAATGACAATTTCTGCCTGGAAGCATCAGCAGAATTATGCAACATACTAATTAGAGATTGCTATATTAAGCAACCTGTTCATTTAAATATTGAAAGTTTTCAAAATGGATAATGACGCCACCTGTGTAAGGATTTCCAAGGGTGCTATTGTAATTTGTGTTTGAGAAGAGAGCAGAATGGAGGCATTGTAAGATTAAGCAAATTTCTTGCAGTCATGTAGAAAGAGATTTAAAAATTCAGTGGAGTTGTCTCTAGTTAGCAAGAACTTTTAACTTAAAGATTACATTTTTAACCTTGTTTAGTTTAACCTACTGGAAATATTAGTTAATCAGCAGCATTTTCAAGTAGTTACTAAACAGTATTGATGCATTAATGGTGAGTTTGACTCAAGCGCACTTTTGAGAATATTTTTTTGGGTCATTTTAAGCTTAGAATGTTGCTATTGCTCTATGGCATAATTAGGAAGCTTTCTCAAATGAGTGGGCCTTCATTTAGTTGCTCAAGTAGGATGAGAACACAGAAATGCAGCAATCTGCGTTTAAATCAAGATCCTGCTCTGACGTGACAGATCTTCCAGACTATTGCAGTGAAGTCCATCTGTGGTAGGTGCAACAGGCCAGGAAAAGAGCCCTCTCTTATAATTTTGTTTAATCTACTATTATTAGCTTGTGCTTCAAAGAATTTTTAGCAGCGCTGTTTCTTCAGGTTTAATATTCAGAGTGGCCAGTGGTGGTAAATGTTGTAGACGCTCAGGTGGGCACTGGAAATTGTGGCACTAAAGACAAGGGATTGCTGGCAGCCACACATGGAATCAGTGTGAGACACTAGGAAAGAGGGAAGGAAAGGCACAGGGCTTTCTCCCAGATGCAGAAGTGGTTTCAAGAGAAATGAGCAATGACTGTCCCCCATACAAATCTGCTGGAAAAACTGGCTTCACACGGCCTGGACGAGCATACGATCTGTTGGATCAAGCACTGGCTGACTGGAAGGTCCCAAAGAGTGGTGCTCAATGGAATCAAATCCAGCTGGTGGCCGGTCACTAGTGGTGTGCCTCAAGGCTCAGTGTTGGGACCATTTCTATTTAACGTCTTTATTGATGATCTCGATAAGGACATAGGGTGTATCATCAGCAAGTTTGCAGATGACACCAAGTTAAGCAGGAGTGTTGACTCCCAGGAGGATAGGGAAGCCCTACAGAGGGACCTAGATAGATTGGATCACTGGGCCAAGATCAATGGCATGAGTTTCAACAAGGGCAAGTGCCAGGTCCTGCACTTGGGCCACACCAACCCCCTGCAGCGCTACAGGCTGGGGGAAGTGTGGCTGGAGCTGCCTGGAGGAAAGAGACCTGGGGGTTCTAATTGACAAACGGCTGAATATGAGCCGGCCTGTGCCCAGGGGGGCAAGAAAGCCAATGGCATCCTGGCTTGTATCAAAAATAGTGTGACCAGCAGAAGTAGGGAGGTGATTGTGCCCCTGTACTCAGCACTGGGGAGGCCACACCTCGAGTGTTGTGTCCAGTTTTGGGCACCTCAATACAAGAGAGATCTCGAGGTGCTGGAGCGAGTGCAGAGGAGGGCAACGAAACTAGTGAAGGGCCTGGAAGACAAATCATATGAAGAGCGGCTGAAGGAGCTGGGGCTGTTCAGTATGAGGAAGAGGAGGCTGAGGGGAGACCTCATCACTCTCTACAACTACTTGAAAGGACACTGTAGAGAGGTTGGGGCTGGTCTCTTCTCACAGGTAATTAACAATAGAACGAGAGGGAACGGCTTCAAGCTCCAACAGGGGAGGTTTAGATTGAACATTAGGAAGGAATTTTTCACTGAAAGAGTGGTCGGGCATTGGAACAGGCTGCCCAGGGAGGGGGTGGAGTCACTGTCCCTGGTTGTGTTTAAGGGACGTTTAGATGCGGTACTGAGGGACATGGTGTAGGGGAGGACTTTGTAGAGTAGGGGAGATGGTTGGACTCGATGATCCCAAGGGTCTCTTCCAACCTCAATGATTCTATGATTCTGTGATTCTATGATTGGGTCAGTGCTGCACGCGCCTTCTGCTGGGACTGGGGTGCCTCACATAGCAGATACCGCCTGAAACGTCCCCTTCCCTTTTCATCTTGTTTGTTTTTAGAAGCCAACAGTTGCCTGCTGACAGTAACAGTCAGCTTAAATATTTGGTCTCGATGTCGAATCTCAAATTGTTCCTGCATCTCCAGGATCCAGTGCCCCGTTACCGCCAGCATTATCTGCTTTAATGAATGCAGAATGACATCGAGGAATCAAAATGGCAACATCAAAATGGGAGGAAAAAAAAAATAAATCACTGCAGCTTTCTTCACTGAGTAACTGTTAATGCTAAAAACTGTTAAACACATTAAAATCCCATTTAGCAAATAGCAGAACGTAATGAAAATTGGAACAATTCAGTGAATACAAATGTGGGATAATACTGGGCAGATTGTTTCTGTGTGGAAGTGCTTCTCTTTGTTCCAAGATCTGTGCTGAGAGAAAACTAGCAGTAGTTTGAAGGATAAATAAAATTTGGCCTTTTGCTAGTAATTTCTTTTCTTCATTTACAGATTTTTCTCCTTACATTGTTAGATTTTTTACTGTTAAAGTCATCACCATTTGATATTTAATACCCTTCAGACTGGATATCTTATTGTAAGGAATATTTAAAAGGATGATTGCAAAATAAGCGTGCATCAATGGAGTGAAGGGGGAAATATTGACAAGTGAGAGAGATCTTACTGAAGGTCTGGATAGGAACGTGCATATGTCTCTTAAAAGAGTTTCAAGAACCTTTTACAGAAGTTCTGGTATCAACAGATTAGATTCAAGCTGCATAATCTGCAGTAGTAGTCCCTCCAAAGTCAACTCATATCCTGGTGATGGTAAAATTTCTGTTTTTCTGAAGCTCCCATCCTAATTTCAGAAATATTCTCTTTTTCCCCCCTTACCTTTCATCTCTGTCTTATTGAGAGCAGTCATAAAATTGGGTGGGAAATCCTGTCTAAACCTTTCCTTTAACCTTTCCTCCAACTGCTGCAGTAACAACCAAATATTTTTCTTGAATGTTTTCTGATTCAAGGTCATCCAAATAGTTTTCAGGATTTTTTGGCAGCCAAAAAAGAGAAATGCCTTAGGATGGAGGAAAAAAGTTTGTCTTACATTTTCCAAAGAAAATTAATTATTTTTTAACAAAATGCATGTTATGATGGTAGGGTATTCTCTGATGAAAAAGACCTCAAAAGAAGCTTTTCAAGTCTGTTAGTTAAATGCTCTTAAGATTGCTGGGTGAAAATAGAAGTCCTTGTGTCTCTATAATGCCTTAATTCTGAATTCTCATGAGTTAAATTCCCAAATCCCAGTTTCTTTTCCCAAATGGATACTGTTGAGGTAAACTACATCTGTTTTGCGTACTACCTGTAAGATTATCGCAAGACTTCTGTTGTTTCTCTCATCATATTTCCATGGTTTTTAAAATAAAAAAATCATGTTCAGTGTTTGGCTGAGCAATAGCTGTTTAGCCCATGTCTAGCAGTTAGTTTTTAAGGGCAATTGCACATGGAACAGAAGATTCTCCAACTCTGTCTTCTCTGCCATTGCTGAAACCGAGGTGTATGGTAGAAATTTCCTTTTTCTTTCCTGTACATACCTTTTTCTTTCATACACATAATGCTTAGATCCTCCTGGACAGAGCTGAAATCTTTTTCGGTGGTCAAATCTCCAGAATAAAAATACCTTATAACCAGAAGTTAGTAATATAATATTTTAGAAGCTTGGAGTAGCGGTTTATAAATGTTGGAGATGCTGCTTAGTGTCAGATTTGCTATATATACAGCTGCAAGTTGGTACATGTGGCTTGCAGGTCAGGAATAGCCTTCCATCTGCTCTTCCAGTGCTGTGAGACTTGGAAAGTCTATTTTTATCAATGTCTGTCTGACCAGAGTCTTCCTCACATGATGGACAAAAATAGTAACAAGCTTCCAGACATGGAGTTTAGGAAGAAATAGAGTAATATGAAAACCTCATTAGTTTTAAACAGAAAAACATAAACAAGCCACTGAATGTCACTCTGTACTGGTTGTTGCATCCAGCTGCACAAATACTTTCATCTAATTTGCTATTTTAACTGTTTCCTTTCCCTTCCATGCAGGCTGAGGAGCGTTAGCATGGAAGCTGCTGACTACACTTCGGCTGGGAGAAGGGTGGCATCTGCAGTGGAGTTATGTGACTGTCCCCCGGGGTACGGTGGCACCTCCTGTGAGGTGAGTGTCACCATGCAAGGGAGATCAATTGTGCTCACACTGGGATAACTGGAAGTATCCACTGGCCCTGTGTCAGTAGAAAATAGAAAATTCCTGTTAGGAATTTGGTATAGGAATTTGGTATAGTCATTGTCTAATGACTTCTATTTCTAGGTGGTAGTTCATTATGTTTGATAATATTTGAAGTTAATTTCCAACATAGAAAATTCCTGTTAGGAATTTGGTATAGCTTGTCTAATGACCTTTATTTCTAGGTGGTAGTTCATTATATTTGATAATATTTCAAGTTGATTTCTAAGTTATGAAAAGACATTTCTCTTAATAAAACAAACATGAAAACAGCATTTGTATACTCTCCAGCCAATTGATGCTACAGATGCACAAAGCTATGACAATTAGAAGGACTTTGCCATTTCCCTTGGAGTCTTCGAGGCTCACGTGTGCCTTCTTGTGAGGATTGTTTCGCTGCAGTTTGGTCCTGCTACAGCTAATAACATACACACAGGCTCAGAAAAGACCCACTTTTCCTCACAAAACCATTCGTTCACACAGAATGTGTTCGTACAAGCATGCATATGATTAACTGCCTCACGTGGGCATAGCTTGGGGTAAGTAGAAGCCAAAAAAAAAATTGTTCAAAAGCTTTGCCTTTAAGGAAATAGTTCCAAACACCAAGATGCTCTGCTTCACAAAACTACAAACAGTATGCCATTTACACAGGCACTCTAGGCATTTGCTTGTCAGCTCGCTTTTTCTTTAAAATCTTCCATGCTTCTGTGTGATATTTAGGGCTTAGAGTCTAGTTTCATGCCAAATGTGGTTGCGTGTTGCCGGGGCTGGATAAACTCATGTAGAAAGAAGGCCTGAAGGAATTAATGGATATTCCTATCACTTCCAGAATGGTCCAGACAGAAAAAACAACTGGAGAAGAACATTGCCTACCTTGGCTGAGAAATAATTTTGGAGTCTGACCGTTGTCTGTCTGTCCAATTATTTGAAGAAAAAACTGGATGAAGTGTCATTGTGCTTCACACAGTTTTTTTACTTGTCCATTTTTCCACTCAATTCAAATTTAGGTGTGATTTCCCAGAAAGCACTTGGAAAGACCCTGACTGCAGATGTTTGAATGACTATTTTTGTTGTAGAAGCTGGAGGTCTTGGGTAGGATTCCTGCCTTGGTGTTGCTGAAATTCTCTGTCCAACGTTGTGTCCTTCAACGCCAAACCTTCTCTCCAATTCAAAATTCTCTCCAATTTTCCAATTCCCTGAAATTTGATATACGCTTAAGATCATATTTCTCTGTCCAACGTTGTGTCCTTCAACGCCACACCTTCTCTCCAATTCAAAACAGTCCCTGAAATTTGATATATGCTTAAGATCATATTCTGCCTTGGTGTTGCTGAAATTCTCTGTCCAACGTTGTGTCCTTCAACGCCAAACCTTCTCTCCAATTCAAAATTCTCTCCAATTTTCCAATTCCCTGAAATTTGATATACGCTTAAGATCATATTCCCAATAGAAGGTACATATATAGATAGCTACAAATTTAAAGTCTCTGTGCACAGTGGTGGGCATAGACACTCTTTGATTCCTGCCCTGACTCAGTGCAAACCACAGGCCTGTTGAACTAAACCATATGGTAGTCCCTACATCAGGGGGCTGGAGCCCCTCTGCTGTGAGGAAAGGCTGAAAAAATTTACATCAGGGGGCTGGAGAAGAGAAGACTCTGGGGAGACCTTAGAGCCCCTTCCAGCCCCTCGAGGGCCTCAAGGAGAGATGGGGAGGGACTCTTGATCAGGGAGGGGAGCCACAGGATGAGGGGGAAGGGTTTTAAACTGAAAGAGGGGAGATTGAGGTGAGATCTCAGGAAGAAATTCTTTGCTGTGAGGGTGGTGAGAGCCTGGCCCAGGTTGCCCAGAGAAGCTGTGGCTGCCCCATCCCTGGAGGGGTTCAAGGCCAGGCTGGATGGGGCTTGGAGCAACCTGGTCTGGTGGGAGGTGTCCCTGCCCAGGGCAGGGGGTTGGAACTGGATGATCTTGAAGGTCCCTTCCAACCTAAAGTGTTCCATGACTCTGTGATTCTCTGTGTGCTGGTTTTCCTCCCAAGAGCAAAGGCCAAGAAGATACAATAGACTTCTGCAAGAGCCTGCTTTTCCTGTGTCCCCTCACTGAATTTCAGAACATTTTGGACAGTTCAGAAATGCCATTTGGCAATGCTGGCTTACCTTATGATAACATTGATACAGTTAAAAGTTTTAGTGTCCATGCCTTTATTCACTGAATTCATTTCTCATGAGGCTTTCGTAGCAGAGGTTCAACATAGACTACACATTGAACAATTGTGCTTGATAGAAAAAAGTGGGGAAATATTTTAATGCTCTGAGTAGTGCTTTTTTAAACAAGGACAAGCAAGAAAAAAAAACAAAACCCAACAGTGAAGTTTCAGAATTCCAGGCAAACTAGCGCTTGAGAAAGCATGGAAAGGCAAATTGAAAATGTGGGTTTTTTTTGGAATGCCATATTTGTTTCTTCTGGATACTTTTGGCCTTGTCCATCACTTTGCTTTTTCCAATTTCAACCTAGCAGAGTTCCATTTTTTTATTGATTTTTTGCAGCTTTTCCATTTCATTTTCCTTCTTAATTTAATTGAATTTATGTGTTTGTTTTCAGCATATTGATGTCACGGTACCTGGGACAGAAGCCACAGCACTAAACCCAACCTATTTATTTATTCTCTTAATGTGAATGTTTTGGCACAATCTGTCTTCAGAAGACAACCAATCCCATTTAAAATATGCTGTTTCTTATGAGATTCTTCTGTCACACAAATATGGAATTAACTTTGTGTAAGATTCTAGTCAAAGAAAATTGTTATGTCTGTGCTAGTGTATCTGAGAACTGAACACACCATTGCATGAGCAGAGGTAAAGCAGATCAAACTTTAAATTTGAAATACCAGTTGGGCTCATTTGTGATAGTTACTCTGCTCTGCTGATGTGGATCTTCTCCACCAGATTTGTTCCCTTGCTAGTGACTCTTTTACTTCCACTGTGGAAGAAGTTGTGTTGAATTTGCATCACTGTGGTAGTGAAGAACTTCCCTGCCTTCTGAATGTTGCGTCATTTCTTTTCTTAAGATCCCAATCTGTAGTCTTTTATCTTAGTTCTGTTCTAAGCCTTGCTGTTGGTATTTGATGTCTAAATCCTTAGAATTAGTGACTTTTAGAGCCTTATCTTGTGCAACATCATGTATATCTGTGCACGAGATCATTGTTTTCAGAATAATTGAAAGTGGAAAAGATTTATAGATTTATGCAGAAACAGCTTCATCAGTTGCATCTCATGCCACAGGAAAAAAATAAGGCCATTTCTTTTAACCTGTTTTTCTTTTCTAGATTGTATAACTCTGAATTTTAATTTCTAGTATTTATGGGTTTTGTTAGAATGAAAAGAAGGAAAAATAAGGGTAATTCATCAGTTTTTGGAATGGCTTTTTAAAAGCGTAATTTCAATTGATCTTCAAATTACTTTCACATTTTGCAGGAGTAAGACAAAAAGGAACATTGTCCTTATTTTTATAAAGGAGATTGTTCTTGTTACCTTTGTGGAGAATGTATGCGAAGGGGAAGGGATTTTCTTAATTTAATGATACTTTTAGTATTCTATCTCTGCACAGCTTCCTCTTTGTATGAGCCAGGTGTTTTTGAAGGTCAGCACTCCGTCATGTAGTTTTTTATATTATGCAAAATCCATGGATCACACGAACAGTCTTCTTGGGGAAAGCGAGTTTGCAAAAACTATAAAGCCATTTGTGAGATATATAGAAAGGAAGACTGCTGCTTGGCATCTGATTATGGAGCAATTGAATAGCTGAATTTTTGCTGATGAATCACAGTTGGACGATGTCACCTTTTCTAAGGAAAAGCTGGCCATGCGTTTAATATTGATCTGAATTTGACAATAAAAAAAAATAAATTCACGGCACCTTCTTAAAGGGAAATGACTGTACTTTGTATTTAAAAAGCATAATTTATAAATGAAAGGATGGCTTTGTTTTCAGACTGTGCTTTATTTCAGTGTAGCCTTTCGTTAGACTCCAAACAAGAAAGACTAAATGCTATTTTAATCGATCTTTGCAGCTGAACTTCTCAGAAGAGGTGTTTGTTGTTTGGGGGTTTTCTTCCCTCCTTCTCTCTTCTTCAGTATTTTGCCTTCTGGCTGTTTTTCAATCTGTACCTCTTGCTTTGATGCTGTCATACTTCAGTTCTTCATTTCTCTGCTTTATTTTACCATTTCAGCAGGATGATCAAGTTAAGGCTTCCTCTAATCTCACTCCTGCCAGTAAGGCTGAGGTCAGTGCAAAGCCATAGGAAGCACCACGAAAAACATCTTTCTAGAGAAATGTTGGTATTTTTATAAATTTGAGAAGTATGGTTTTGTATATGCAATTATCAAATTCAACAGTATTTTAAAAATCACATTCCTTTCCCCGTTCAAGCAAAATTTTAACTTTTTATCTAATTTATCTTCTAGTCTTGCTGGCCCCGACACAGGCGTGTGAATGGCACAATTTTTGGTGGAATCTGTGCACCGTGTACATGCTTTGGCCACGCAGATGTGTGTGACGACATCACAGGGGAATGCCTGGTAAGTGTCACTACAGAAAACTTGATGGAAATGGCCATCATCAGTTCAATATACCTGGGCAATTAAATTAACAACCTCTGAGACCTGAAATATCCAAGGAGAAAAAAACAGCAATTAACTGAAGAGATCTTGAACCAAGATATGGTGGCTTTTACAGTTAAACAAAAGGAATTTTTTATTCACATAGGGTTTATGTTTTGAAATAGAATCAATAGTATAAGGTATGGCATGCAGACAGCAGCAAATTTATCAGTATTCTAGCCCGCAAGATTTACCTCCCCCTCCCATCTGTCTCCTGCAGTGTATTTAGTTTATAGTATGAAGCAAGTAACTTTGCAAATTTGGTTCTAGTATGACAAGAAGATACTGTTGACCCTTCATCTAAATTCCTACTAAACCTTAAAGAAAGGAAGAAATTTATTAAGAAACACTTCACAAATTGTACTTTAAAAATAATAAAAGTATATGATTTTGGCTAAATCAACTTTTTTTTTTTTTCTTATAGGCTATGGAGATTTTCTGTAGTTAGCTCCTAATTCAGCAATTAAATCTGATATTATCCATAGCAAACCTACCAGCACATCACTATTTGCAGCCCATTCAGTAGCCTGTTGGAGTGGGTGAATTATGCTGAATAGACTGTTCTGATTAACTCAAGGGCATTTTTAGTTTCATATTGTCTGACATGGCATGAAGCTTGAAACAACATTTCTCATTTCATTAGCCTTGCAGAAACACAATTTGAGCCAGTGCCAGTTTAGTGGGATATCATACTCTCATTTCCCTGCAGAATTTCAAGCAGACTCTGTATTGTGCATGTTTCTAAATGTTCCCTTTTATTTCCGTAAGAAAAAGCTGCTGGGAAAAATCCAAACTGAAAATTCAGGCTTTTTTCAATGTAATTTGGCACTTAGGATTATCACTGGTCTTCCTGTTTTGCCCATACAAGATGTTTAATTGCATTGCAGTGCAAAACAAGATACCCTTAATATGTGGATCGGTGATTTTTTCAAATTGCTTTTTCATGAATAGACGCTTTAAATGATTCTCAATTTAATTATACTGTGTGCCTTAAAGAAGTACCTCGGATGAAAAATATGTATGACATGACAGTTGCGTTTTGAATCCTTCACTTACATGCAGTGAAAATGTTTATTACAAGGGTAATACGGATTTGTGTTTCTCAACAAAGATAAAATTTATTGCATTAATGAATGCAGCCTCCAGCTTTGCAGTCTTTCACGTGGGTGTGGGATAGAATCAATTAACAGAATGGAAAGGGAGAGGAGAATCCCTTTTAAGGTATATCATAACTATTGACTATTTTGCTTGGGGGCGTGAAGCCAGATGTGAGTTCTGAGGTTTTTTGCTTCCGTGTCTTCAAGTTTTAGCCCTTGCACAACTTCCCTCTTCATTGAGGGGTCTGGAGCACAAGTCTTATGAGGAGCGGCTGAGGGAGCTGGGGGTGTTCAGCCTGGAGAGGAGGAGGCTGAGGGGAGACCTTCTTGCTCTCTCCAACTCCCTGAAAGGAGGGTGTAGAGAGGTGGGGGTCGGTCTCTTCTCCCAAGTCACAGGCGACAGGACGAGAGGAAATGGCCTCAAGTTGCACCAGGGGAGGTTCAGGCTGGATATTAGGAAAAATTTTTTCACTGAAAGGGTTCTCAGCCATTGGAATGGGCTGCCCAGGGAGGTGGTTGAGGCCCCATCCCTGGAGGTGTTCAAAAGACGGGTTGATGTAGTGCTGGGAGGTCTGGTTTAGTGATGATGCTCCTTGTTTGTTGTGTGGGTGTCTATTTTTGTCAGTGAGGTTGACGGTTGGACAAGATGATCTTTGAGGTCCCTTCCAACCTAGAAGATTGTGTGATTCTGTGATTTCTGTCTCTGGCCAGGAGGTGAGAGAAGCCGTGCAGTCGCAGGTTGTCCTGCTTTTGCACTTCTCAGCTGGTGTGAACCATTGGCTGAGACAGCAGAGCTCCCCCCCATGATGTTCCAAGGGTGCTGGGGTAAAGAGAACCCGGCACCGACAGAGAAGTGGAAAATAACCAGTCAAAAATGTACTTTTATCTATATGCATTATCAAGCATTCCGTATTTTCTGTGTTCTGTCTGAGCTTATACTAGATCATCCCATAAAGAAGAGGCGCGCAGGGAGCTTAAAATCAGTTCTGGGTTTCCTTGCAGCTTGCTTTGAAAGCGCCGTAAGTGAAGTTGGATGGGTTAGTATCCATGCAGGCTATTAAATGCTGCTGTTCAATTTGGATCATAAGCCTTTTGAAGTGAAAGAGAGAGAAGTCTGAATGCTGAAAAAGAGAAATGTTTCACATCAAAGGCATTCTTTCTATTGAGGTTTACACAGCCTTTTGGCCGCCTTATTATTATTCATGGTGTTTTTTCAGTAATACAACAGACAATTTAGGCACCTAATTTACTGATATGATACTTCTTTTTGCTCTTCCTTAGCTTTGAAATGGAGTTGAAAAGCAGCTGAAATATGTTTTTGACTCATGATAAAAGCTCGAATCATCTGCTCCGACACGGGCCTGTATAAAAAGCTCATTTTAACGCGTATCTCACAGTAACCTGCAAAGCCCTTTGATCCCTGCAGCAACCATATAGAGCTGCATGATCCATCCTTCTCGTTACCATTGTGATATACAAACTGCTCCGGTACAGAGGGCAGGTTCTAACAGTCAGAAATCCTCTTTTGTAGTGTTACACACACACACATTTACCGTAGCTTTAGGAGGTTGGTTAAACCCAAACCTTGTGAAAAGCAAACACGTTTCAAGGTGTTTCATGCCTTGCAGAACATTAGGTTCCTGGTAGTAAGCTCAGAGAGTGCAGGTTTTTCTCCCCTTATATAAGCTCAAATTGCAAAGTGGGCTGTCCCCTGGTTTGTATTTTATTCCTTTATGTGTTAAAAGCACATACCATGTAGATTGAGGCCGTGTCCTTAGATAGTGTTCATCACAGCAGCCACTAAGTACCTTCACCCACCTTCACGTACACAGTAACAACATGATAGATCCCAAGCTCGTTGTAGTACAGGCTGTGCCACAGCTGAAAATTGCATAAAGCCTCTGCAACATCCTGATTGCACTCCTAACACCAAGAAAAGGGAATTACCCATGTAAGCTTGATGTTAAGTAAGTTTGAAAATGCCAGAAGAGCATATTCATGCTTCCAAAGACTCAATACCCAGAGAAGCTGTGGCTGCCCCATCCCTGGAGGGGTTCAAGGCCAGGCTGGACGGGGCTTTGAGCAACCTGGTCTGGTGGGAGGTGTCCCTGCCCAGGGCAGGGGGTTGGAACTGGATGATCTTCAAGGTCCCTTCCAACCTAAACCATCCTGTGATTCTATGATAATAGCTTTGTCTGGTCTAAATGGCCAGGGAATATAATAAAATAGGCATCTAAAATCAGCACTAAAATAGGTTTTGTTTAACTAGCTTAAACTATCAGTGTCCCTGGCTGTCTCTGTGACAGATGTCCCAAGGAAGGGCAGCAGCCAAAGGCACTATCTTGGGACTCAGTCATGCTCCCTGACTAAAGTTTTATTTTCATCACCAGCCTTCTATTCTATTTCTTTCCATATTGGTACATTCAGCTGCACACACAGCGAAGCAGGAGTGTGTTTCAGTGTGAATTCAGAGTTCGCTGGTACTGGGCATAAAAATTTCCATTTGGTTTCTTTAGAGACAGGGAGAGCTGGCTTGGTAGGAAATGGGCAAAAACACACTCCAGGACATCCGCCATAAAGTCCTTGGCAACAAGGTCTGAGTTACACATAAAATTTTGGAGAAAAACAAATTCCATAGTCTTGCTTCCTCAGAGGTTGTCTAATTGAAGTTTAATGATATTTGGGGATAAAAGATGTCTGGAAAATTCATGCATTCAAAACAGTTTGAGATCCAGTACCTGGAATTTGAAAGCATAAAGACTTGGGCATAAAATCGTTCCTGGCCACAGTCTATGAATCTATGGAACTAGGCATTGATTTTACCAAAACCACTAGATCAATGTGCTGGAACAAACTATATTTCCAAGAGAATAAAAAGAAAGAATATATAATGTACTGAGCAGGTTAGGGACAGTTGATCATGATCTTCTTTATACTCAGTTTTGTGAGACACAAAATAATCAGGTGTTTCTATGAACATGAAAAATGGAAGATTTCGTGTCTTTTATTTGAAAAAAAAAGAGCAGAAACTCCAAATACCACTCTGGAAGTGGTGTGTAGCTTTAAAATAGTGTGTTAACTCCTCTCACTGTAGCAACATCCTTGACATATAAGCTGTTCATATTCTTCAAAAACATTAAGATACATCTGAGGATATTTAAAGCTAAACTTAACACAAAAGAATAATTCAGAAAAAGTACAAATAATTTGACATGATGCCTTAAAAAAGTTGAATTGCAAAGGATTTTTCTTTAGAAACACTTAAATTATTTTTGTCATATCTTCTTTAAAAAGCATATCTTGATGTTCCCAGCTACTTTGTCAGTGTGGCCAGGAGATTTTTTTTGCATGTCAGCACTTGAAGTAACAATCAACTGGACTTAAATGACCTAATGATGTAGAATTTAACAGCTGATGGTTCTAAGGCCATAATTTTATTTTACTAAGAGTCTCAATAGTTGGTATTAGCTCACAATCTACCAAATATGTGAAAACATAATATTGTGACTAACGCTTCCATCTCAAAGATGTGCTGATTGTACACACAAGCAATAAGAATGCACCCTTTGAACCAGCAAACAGCATTTCTGGAGACAGATGCTTTTGACTCCAGTGCACTCAGGACTGAAACGGGTATTGTGCTTTTTCAGCTGCCCAAATGTGTGGTCCTGGCTACACAAAGCATAGTGCAAAATAACTTTGTACAAATAATTGCAGTCCTGGAGGGTCAAGAAGAAGAAATCAGTGTTCCTTAGAATAGTGCCATTTTTAAAATTCTTTATTGAGGATACATTATGTATCCTCATATTCTTATTTTTAAAATTCTTTTAAAATTCTTTACTGAGGATACATTATGTCTTCCAGACAGTAAGGCTGTTAAATATCATGCAGTACCATATGCACAACTTATTAAAATGAGAAAAAAATGTAACGTCGTCTTAAAAATGTTTTAAATTAAATATCTACACCTTAAAAAAATACCTACACCTTTGGAAATACCTATACCTTTAAAAATACAACAACCCTCAAGAGTTCTTAAGCAGCAGCTTGGGTGAAACACATTCTACTTCCATCTCAAAGATGTGCTGATTGTACACACAAGCAATAAGAATGCACCCTTTGAACCAGCAAACAGCATTTCTGGAGACAGATGCTTTTGACTCCAGTGCACTCAGGACTGAAACAGGTATTGTGCTTTTTCAGCTGCCCAAATGTGTGGTCCTGGCTACACAAAGCATAGTGCAAAATAACTTTGTACAAATAATTGCAGTCCTGGAGGGTCAAGAAGAAGAAATCAGTGTTCCTTAGAATAGTGCCGTTTTTAAAATTCTTCATTGAGGATAAATTATGTGTCCTCGTATTCTTATTTTTAAAATTCTTTTAAAATTCTTTACTGAGGATACATTATGTCTTCCAGACAGTAAGGCTGTTAAATATCATGCAGTACCATATGCACAACTTACTAAAATGAGAAAAAAAAGTAACGTCTTATTAAAAATGTTTTAAATTAAATATCTACACCTTAAAAAAATACCTACACCTTTGGAAATACCTATACCTTTAAAAATACAACAACCCTCAAGAGTTCTTAAGCAGCAGCTTGGGTGAAACACATTCTAGATTTGATGTGGCCCATCATCGTAACTCAGAGCAGAGCACACCCTGTTAAATAAAATCTCTCTCATGGCTTTCATCTTGGTCTTTCCAAGTTGCCATATGCTTTTTCAGTCTCTACCCAAGCACATCAAGATGGCATTTAAGAGCCAAAACCATTTCTCCTGCTTTCTCTGTTTTTACACTGTGAAAGGGCCACACTTGGGTATCTTGTGGCAAATAGCACTGAAAGGAATCATGTGGTATGCTGAAAATGTGGCAAAAGAAAGGAAACAGTTTAAGCCAGAAAACTGATTTGCTGAGCCTCTTATGGATCCTGCCAAATTATTTAGAATTTCTAAATCCTATATGGTGAGGGGGAAGAAGACTAGAAGGAGCAATTACTCTTTAAAACTTGGTTCTTTTAAGTCCTCATGGGAAGCCTGTTCTCATGGGACCAAATCCCATTCTGCCAAAAGACCATTTAATTTGAGATCAGGTTATATACGAAAAATGCAGATTTAGTGCCACCATTTTTATGTTGGATGTTTCATACGCTCAGATAAAGTGCCACATGAGGAACACAGATGTTGGATAGGGCCTGTATACGATGTACTCATCCTTGTTTCTCCTCACAAAATAGAGTCTGGATGCTATTCTGGCAAACAAGTATTAATTAAGTAATTCAGGCTTTGCTACTTTTCACAAACATATTTAGTATACTGCTTGCCATATACCTTGTAAAATGAGCTAATGCACTTAGATGGGAAATTTTATAATTCATATTTATAACTTATGTAGTCTGAGCTGTATTTCTGGGATCAACATCTGCAAACTGTTTGACACAAAATAAGGCCACAATACTGAACCTGTTCTGTGCTGCTCTGAAGGTTGTTTTCCTTTAAGCCAGCTAAAACAATAACGTGGCTGTTGTATGGTGGAAAGATAAAGGTCTACAGTTAAAAATTCTTTTTGTTTTACATAGACAAAACTTACTCCAAAGAACACAAATACCTGAAGTGTATGAATCACAGCCAGTGACATCTAACCTCTAGAGCCTCTTCTCAACCAGCAGCAGAAAATCAGGATATATGCTGCAGACCTCTTCCAGTCCTGTTGGGAGGACGGGCTGGGTGAATGACCTTAAAGGGTTTTCCATATTTAAGATCTCTCATTGTGAATTTGTACTTTTCACCTTCTGTTTAGGACTGCAAACACCACACAGGTGGTCCCTACTGTGATCGATGTCTTCCCGGCTTCTATGGGGATCCCACTAAAGGGACAGCTGAAGATTGCCAGTTGTGTGCTTGTCCCTTGAATATACCTTCTAACAAGTAAGATGTGTATTTATTACATATTACACTTTTTCACCTAGCAAATTGCATAACTTTTAAATATACACTTTTTCATGTATACTTGAGATTTTTTGTGTTTTAATCAAATAATATATTCTGCAATATAAAAACTTCTATTCTCTTTACAATTGCACAGACTATGTAGTTTCAGAGAGGCAAAGATAAGAGAAAAGCTGGATGAAGCTAAGCTAGAAAGAGCAACACAGAATTTGCATGACTGCTCTTTGAATCAATAACTAGCATTTACTTTCCTGTTTTCCTTAGGAGTAGTTGTTTCTAATTTAAAAGTTGAATTTACAGATTGTGAGGGCTTTTAATAATTGAATTTAAAGTCAATTTATCTTGATCAGATGAAATAGTGATTTCTTCTGCTTTTAATTTTCATTTTCTTCCAGTCAACATTCAGTGAGAATGTTGATTTGGTTGGAGTGTAGATTCAGCCTTAGATCTTGCAAGTGAAAATATTTTGTCAGCGTATCTCAGAATAATCACTATAAATTTGTGTTATTAAATAAAAATAATAGTGAAAAGTTAATCAAAACTCTGATCTAAGAACAAAGATACATTATGTCTTCCAGACAGTAAGGCTGTTAAATATCATGCAGTACCATATGCACAACTTACTAAAATGAGAAAAAAAAGTAACGTCTTATTAAAAATGTTTTAAATTAAATATCTACACCTTAAAAAAATACCTACACCTTTGGAAATATCTATACCTTTAAAAAGACAACAACCCTCAAGAGTTCTTAAGCAGCAGCTTGGGTGAAGCACATTCTAGATTTGATGTGGCCCATTGTGTAACTCAGAGCAGAGCACACCCCATTAAATAAAATCTCTCTCATGGCTTTCATCTTGGTCTTTCCAAGTTGCCATATGCTTTTTCAGTCTCTACCCAAGCACATCAAGATGGCATTTAAGAGCCAAAACCATTTCTCCTGCTTTCTCTGTTTTTACACTGTGAAAGGGCCACACTTGGGTATCTTGTGGCAAATAGCACTGAAAGGAATCATGTGGTATGCTGAAAATGTGGCAAAAGAAAGGAAACAGTTTAAGCCAGAAAACTGATTTGATGAGCCTCTCATGGATCCTGCCAAATTATTTAGAATTTCTAAATCCTATATGGTGAGGGGGAAGAAGACTAGAAGGGGCAATTACTCTTTAAAACTTGGTTCTTTTAAGTCCTCATGGGAAGCCTGTTCTCAGGGGACCAATTCCCATTCTGCCAAAAGATCATTTCTTTTGAGATCAGGTTATATACAAAAAATGCAGATTTAGTGCCACCATTTTTATGTTGGATGTTTCATACGCTCAGATAAAGTGCCACATGAGGAACACAGATGTTGGATAGGGCCTGTATACGATGTACTCATCCTTGTTTCTCCTCACAAAATAGAGTCTGGATGCTATTCTGGCAAACAAGTATTAATTAAGTAATTCAGGCTTTGCTACTTTTCACAAACATATTTAGTATACTGCTTGCCATATACCTTGTAAAATGAGCTAATGCACTTAGATGGGAAATGTAATAATTCATATTTATAACTTATGTAGTCTGAGCTGTATTTCTGGGATCAACATCTGCAAACTGTTTGACACAAAATAAGGCCACAATACTGAACCTGTTCTGTGCTGCTCTGAAGGTTGTTTTCCTTTAAGCCAGCTAAAACAATAACGTGGCTGTTGTATGGTGGAAAGATAAAGGTCTACAGTTTAAAATTCTTTTTGTTTTACATAGAAAAAACTTACTCCAAAGAACACAAATACCTGAAGTGTATGAATCACAGCCAGTGACATCTAACCTCTAGAGCCTCTTCTCAACCAGCAGCAGAAAATCAGGATATATGCTGCAGACCTCTTCCAGTCCTGTTGGGAGGACGGGCTGGGTGAATGACCTTAAAGGGTTTTCCATATTTAAGATCTCTCATTGTGAATTTGTACTTTTCACCTTCTGTTTAGGACTGCAAACACCACACAGGTGGTCCCTACTGTGATCGATGTCTTCCCGGCTTCTATGGGGATCCCACTAAAGGGACAGCTGAAGATTGCCAGTTGTGTGCTTGTCCCTTGAATATACCTTCTAACAAGTAAGATGTGTATTTATTACATATTACACTTTTTCACCTAGCAAATTGCATAACTTTTAAATATACACTTTTTCATGTATACTTGAGATTTTTTGTGTTTTAATCAAATAATATATTCTGCAATATAAAAACTTCTATTCTCTTTACAATTGCACAGACTATGTAGTTTCAGAGAGGCAAAGATAAGAGAAAAGCTGGATGAAGCTAAGCTAGAAAGAGCAACACAGAATTTGCATGACTGCTCTTTGAATCAATAACTAGCATTTACTTTCCTGTTTTCCTTAGGAGTAGTTGTTTCTAATTTAAAAGTTGAATTTACAGATTGTGAGGGCTTTTAATAATTGAATTTAAAGTCAATTTATCTTGATCAGATGAAATAGTGATTTCTTCTGCTTTTAATTTTCATTTTCTTCCAGTCAACATTCAGTGAGAATGTTGATTTGGTTGGAGTGTAGATTCAGCCTTAGATCTTGCAAGTGAAAATATTTTGTCAGCGTATCTCAGAATAATCACTATAAATTTGTGTTATTAAATAAAAATAATAGTGAAAAGTTAATCAAAACTCTGATCTAAGAACAAATGTTTGCTTCATGACAAAAGCTTGTCTGTGCTACTTGCTGCCTACAATTAATAGACCAAGTGGCTTGAACGTTTCTCCATTGGTTTTGGCCTAGTCAGGGCCTGGAAAAGAACAATAGCAAAACCATTTGGTGTGATGTAGTTGAGGAAGACTGTTCTGAATCTTGTCTGGTTCCATTCTCTTGTGCATATTAAAACATGGAAATTCTGTGTATCAGTTGGGATTAGAGCATTTGGTTTGTCCCATCCAGTGTGGCCTCAGAGAAGAGGAGCCCTGGGGCAGGAGTTACCAGCAGAGCTGCTGCGGTGCGACACGTACAGTAGTTGTTCAGGCAGATCAGGAGCTGTTGTGGGTCTGTGTCTGACTCGTTTGCAGGGGTCACTAATACCTGCTCAAATTCCAGCCACAAACTGGAAGTGGCTCATTCTGGAAAGAATCACTGTTAGTCCATACAGGCACTGCTGAAGGATTGGAGGATAGTACCAGAAGACTGTAAATGATACACAGAGGCTGCCCCATCTCAGGTTTTAAACAGCTATACGAGCTGATAAATCCACTCGAGTATTTTTTTTTTCTCCTTTCAGCCCTTCTTCTTCTATTTCACCCCATTTTTCCCTGGAACAGAAGCCAGAATCTTGTCAATGAAATGCACTCTACTATTTAAGAGTATAAAGAGCACTTCTTAATGTTTAAAGGAGAAAATGCATGGCTGCACCTGCACAGAGAGGGAGCTCTGAAGGTGCAAGTGAGACCATCATCACAGAGACCATCATCTGGATGGTGAAGTGCCAAAAAAGTCCCAAATGAACCAGATTTTGCTCTTAAGTAGTTCGGGATAACTCTGTTGCCTCCGGTGGCATTGTGTCCTATTAAAATTGCACTGACTGGGGCAGGAATAATCTAAACACTTAGCAGAAATCCCAGGGGATTGTGGAATGGGAGCCTGCCTTCCTGTTACCCCAGCTCTCCCCTTGGTGTTATTGGATATACAGGGGTTTCTCATGTCTGCTGTTCAGGCACGGTTCCTCTGACGCCCTCATTGCTTTCACACACTTAGTGTTTCCTTGCATCGTTAATTAATTCTCTTTCTCTTGCTTGAGAACGCTTTTCTGACAAAGCAGGAAAAAACACTATCCCGTTTATATCTTGTGCAGATGTGCAACAAACCAAGTCAAATAGATTGACTTTACATTTTTATTGGCAAAATGCCTGGAGCCCTCTATTAGGTATTCAGCAGAATTCTGGCTGCTTTACTTCCCCGTTTTGGAATTGAACAAGAAAGTCCCCTTTTTAATATTTAGTTTTCTTGCAAAATACAGGTACAGAACAAACACGATACAGATGTTCTTGAACTGTGAAATTGTGGGAGAGCTGAACCCGAGGGTTTAGCCCAGCATCAGAGCTGTGCAGTGGCTTCCTCTTTCTGAAATGAACATGGCAAAACCATGAACATCCTCAGGCTTTGTAGAGCTCCCTGTAAGGTTCGAGCTTTCCTGACTTTACAGTTCTAGACTAATTATTAAGTTTGTTTATGAGGAACAAAAAGGAGGTTGTTAAAGATTTCATGTGTTACCTGAAGGCTGTTAAAATAGTCGTTTTTCTTTCTTACTGAGTTGGCAGGGAGTTTGCTGTGCTAGGGCTAATGTATGTAAACAATTCAGATTCCTTCACGCATCCTTCACATGAAAAATAAGAAATTTCTACCAAGCTCGTGTCGCTGTGCAGCTGTAGCATGTGCCATGGGATTTCTCAGTAACCTAACAAGTGACTGATTTATGTACAAGCAAGTATAAATAGCTGTCTATTATAGATTTTAATTCCTGTAGGATTTAATTCCTAACGTGGCATGACAGGGCATCTGTAGGTCTCTAAGCCTCATACTAAGTTCCTGGTGCATAGAGAATATTAACCATATAATGAATCTCTGAGATATATTTTTATTAAAAAATTCATTTTGTCTCATTTCTTTATGACATTATAATGGTTCTCATCACTGTTTGCAGGGCACCTGAATCTTTTTCTTTGCGCTGCCACATAAGGTAGAGGAGAACTGTTGAATCACTTGGGAAATGTGGTGGGGGGGCTGTTCTGTCGTTAACCTCAGCTGATTGAACGGCTGCTCCTTCCCTCTCCCGTTTCCTAATGGCAGCGTTTTCCATACGCAATCCTTGAAGCCAGTCATAAAACTGCCTCTGAAGCACAACGGTGATCAGAGACTTGCCATATGTCAGAAAAGAACTACATCAGGAAAATAAAATTAACTTTGCTAAGCTTGTTTTTTAGATCCTGGGCTACAGTTTCCTCTTTTTGCATATATCTCCATATCTGTACCTATATGATGCAAATGAGATCAATACCCATATTATAAATGGCTTATGTAGCATACGCTTGACTTCTTCGTCTTAGCTCTTCTCGTTAATGCATCACTCTTACAAACTGTTCTAACATTCTTAGTCTTTAGGGAGTTTCAAATAAGCTGTTTTTTTTCCCCGTAGAAATTACCAGTCATACTACTGTATAATTCTTTCTACCAACTGTAGACGTCTAGGACAATTACTGCTTTTCACTTGAAGTGGCAATAAATTTACAATGGGTAATGAAGCCCCAAAGAGGAACGTTTTATCACTGGAAATGGGAGATAGAAGATATCTCACTCAGCCTGGGCAGGGCACAAGTAAACTCGTAGCACATGAACTGGGAATTCGGGCTGATCTCAGAATTTTAATCTTTTCTTGGAGAATTAAATAAAATCATAAACTTATTCCCAAGAGATGTTTTCTGTGACATACTTGTAAGTGTTTAGGAAGCCCTGTCTTCTAACACAGGCCTATCACATACATACACACACTGTGTATTTGTACTTATCCCATTGATACTGAAGTAAAAACTGAAAGTGGTGATGAATCAAGAGAGACTATGATTTTTTGAAGTTTGTTTTGACAGATCAATACTCACTGTTCTTTAGTATTTATTACTAGTGAGTAATGAAATTCTAAGTAACCAGGAAGATAAACTGTTCTTTTCCTCACCCTGCTCTCACGTATTTCCTTTACAGTATGCAAATGGGAATTTCTTAATATATTAATGATCAGTGTTGAGATGTGGAGTGACTGTTAAGTCAGATGAAGAATCAAAGGATGCTAGGTCTGAGCAAAATCCTTAAAACATGGAAATCCTGCTATTCATTATTACTGCTTAGTAATAAGAAATACTTAATTATTATTATCTTTAAAATGTATGCAGTTGAATTCAGCGCTCTTGATGGAACTGTGGTAGAGTTGATCTCGTGTGATGCTGTAATGAGTTGTGATGGCATCTCTGCAAAGTTTCCTGTGTAACTCCTAGAAAGAGCCTGGTTGGGACTGACAAGCAGGGTCTCATTTGAAATGTCAGGTGCTGCTGCTGAGATTCCATGATAACGTGTGCCTCAGTTGAAAATTTCTTTCGTTGCTATTTAAAAATAGAATGAACAATCATTGCGTCTTCGACTGGCTCCTCATGCATTTGTGAATCTATTCTTAATTGAATGACATTGCAAAACAGAACAAACATAATCCTTATGGGAGAGAGGAAAATCCCAGCACCTGTGTTTACTGGACCTGACCTTCCTACATTTTTCTTACTGATCTCTTGTGTCTGTGGGGTAACTTGCCTTATGCAGGGTGTTTACAAATTGAAACAATCCATAACAGAAAGAGAATGAAGTGTAACTGAGGTCAGATGGTAGGATGGAGAAGTGGGGTCCAATCATCAGCAGGCAATTACAGTACCTCATCCTAATTAAGCTTTTCTGTCTTCCCTGTGCCTATGATTTTGCAGAAACTTCCACTGTATATCCTGCTTTAATTTGTCAGAGGTCAGATTATATCTATTTGTTGTTATTATTGTAGCATGAACTTTTACCTTGAATGTACCTTCCTTCCCATGTCTTTGTTAGAGCAATTATATTCCTTCTCAACTTCTGTTTTCCTACCTTACATCGTCTCTTCAGATAGGTGCTTTGTTTTCCTGTTGTGAACAGTCCCCCCACTATGCACCTCCTCCTGTTCCTTTCTTTTTTTCCCCTTTTTCTATTTTTCTATTTCATTGACCAGAATTGATTACCATTATTTAGATGAGGCCCTGTCAAGGTGCTGGCATGTCTCTGTCCTTAAAAATCATGCCAGAATGATAGTAGAACAGGTTGCCTTCTCTTCTGTGGGGTGTTTTTTAGACTTTTAGGAGGTTTCCTCACAAAAGTGTGTTAAGGTGGAAAGATTATGGAAAGCAAAATGTTAAACAGTGAAGGAGCACATTTCAGAGTTAAACATGGACATTGAGAGGTGGAGCTTGCAAATGCCTACGGTATCCTTATTTATTAAAAAAAATAACCAAACAAGTTATTGTAGCATGAACTTTTACCTTGAATGTGCCTTCCTTCCGATGTCTTTGTTAGAGCAATTCTATTCCTACTCAACTTCTGTTTTCCTACCTTACATCATCTCTTCAGATAGGTGCTTTGTTTTCCTGTTGTGAACAGTCCCCCCACTATGCACCTCCTCCTGTTCCTTTTTTTTTTTTTCCCCCTTTTTCTATTTTTCTATTTCGTTGACCAGAATTGATTACCATTATTTAGATGAGGCCCTGTCAAGGTGCTGGCATGTCTCTGTCCTTAAAAATCATGCCAGAATGATAGTAGAACAGGTTGCCTTCTCTTCTGTGGGGTGTTTTTTAGACTTTTAGGAGGTTTCCTCACAAAAGTGTGTTAAGGTGGAAAGATTATGGAAAGCAAAATGTTAAACAGTGAAGGAGCACATTTCAGAGTTAAACATGGACATTGAGAGGTGGAGCTTGCAAATGCCTACGGTATCCTTATTTATTAAAAAACCCAACCAAACAATTAAAAAACCCAGCTAAAAATAAGTAGAGCATAGCAAAGAGGTGAAGCTTTCTACTCTGCAGGCTATTCTTAATCTTCAGCGTGCCTGTCTGGCCTGTTGCTTGAGGTCACTGGCACTTGATTTACTCACATGCACTCTCTGGGAGCTGCACCAGAGATTTCCCTTTGTGCCCCTCCTCTGTCTCCTTCGCTGGGTTCCTTCCAGAGTCGATTATCCACAAAGTTAACTGAGCTTTCAAATAAGTTGTCCGTCCGAAAGATTTATCTAGGGGGCACATTATGGCACAGATTGTTTTGCTGGGCCCTGGGGGGCACAAACAAACAGCTGTACATTCCTGCCTTTTTCATGGTATCCAGCCCACTCGGTGGCAGGCTCAGGGCCCGTAATAACAGGCTATTGGGATGCTGCCATCCGTTACTCTATATTCAGTGTCGCAGAAATAGCAGAGTCATTCCAAATTCAATTTGCTGGAGTCAAAGTTAAGCCCCATGTCCTAGACCAGAATCACTTTTCCTGAGCTCTGTTTGGCAAATGAACGATCTCTGAAGTGGGAATTAAGCGATGCTGCTGACCGTCTTTTATTTATCTTTTTTTCTTGTCCCTCTTCTTACCCAAAAACAACAACTCAGCTTCAGCCCGACGTGCCATTTTGACCGAAGTCGTGGGTTAATATGCGATGAATGCCCGGCTGGGTACGTGGGACCACGCTGTGAAAGGTAAGGCAGCACCGTGCTTTTAACCACATGAGAGCTGGAACAAAACTATTGATCACATGGAAGTGGTCTGCCCTTTTATTGCTTCCCCTTCTTGTCCCCTCTTCTCTGTTCTCAAACTCGCTGAAGAAATTCCTGTGCATCTTCCTCTGATACTGCATCCATGCATTTCTATATTCCCAGTGCTTGTTTTATTACTTTATGGTAAAGTGCAAAACTTCCAAGAATCATCTACTGAGAAGTAAGAGTCTTTTATTTATTTTTTTTTTTTAAAGGCTACTTCTAGCTTTTCTGTCACTCCTCTGAGATTTTTATAATTATTTTGTCTCTTGTCATTGGAATGTTTAGAGCACGGTGAAACAAATATGCAATAAATTACTGATGCCTCTTTTAGAGAAGGTAATGTGCAGTGAAAATGCAGCTCTTCTAATAACTTATTGGATGAATTTAATTATTTTTAAAAAGATTATTTTGCATTTTAGTTGCTTCTAGTTTTCTGTTGCAGTCTTTATTTGGCAAGGAGAACAAGCTAGGTTTTAAAGACAAAGAAAATAATTCTTTCTCAGATGCATAGAAGAAGCTCAGTATGTATTTCCTACTTTTATTCCTACTTATACAGAAGACAAATAATAAAAAAAAAAGTCTAGTCTGTCTTTGGCCACAACAGGTCTGAGTGACACATTAGTACTGAGAGAGAAGGTTCTCTCCCCCTCTTGCCTGCTGTTATTCTGAAGGGATGGTAGGGAGAAGTTAAATGAAGCTGAAGGCTCATGTGAGCAGCGGTGCTAAGCTCCAGGGGACTCCCTTCCGCGGGGGTGAGACTGTGTAGGGAGGGATATCATCACCGTGTCCACACGCCTCTGGTCTCTGGGGGTTTCTCATGGACAGGACAACTTTCAGAAGCTGTGAATCTGCCAGGGGACCTCTGCTTGGCTTTCTGTGTAGGGAGGGATATCATCACCGTGTCCACACGCCTCTGGTCTCCGGGGGGTTTCACATGGACAGGACAACTTTCAGGAGCCGTGAGTGTGCCAGGGGACCTCTGCTCGGCGTTTGGAGGTCATGATGAATCAGCACTGGCTTTGGCTCCATCATCCCAGTGACCCTGAAAATGACCCATTTTAAGAGGGTCCGGGGGAGCCAGATAACTGTCTGATATCTGGATAGACAGTTACAGGGCATGAAAACACGGCACTTCTGTTTCTTAGTAGGCTTTTGTCATCTAGCACTTCGATGAGATGTTTGCAGCATTTTCCAACATAGAATCTGAGGCCTCACCTCGAGGGCTGTGTCCAGTTTTGGGCCCCTCACCACAAAAAAGTCATTGAGGGGCTGGAGCGGGTCCAGAGAAGGGCAACGGAGCTGGTGAGGGGTCTGGAGCACAAGTCTGGTGAGGAGCGGCTGAGGGAGCTGGGGGTGTTCAGCCTGGAGAAAAGGAGGCTGAGGGGAGACATTATTGCTCTCTCCAACTCCCTGAAAGGAGGGTGTAGCCAGGGGGGGTCGGTCTCTTCTCCCAAGGAACAGGCCATGGGACAAGAGGAGATGGCCTCAAGTTGCACCAGCGGAGGTTTAGGATGGATATTAGGAAAAAAATTTTACACTGAAAGGGTTATTGCACATTGGCAGAGGCTGCCCAGGGCAGTGGTGGAGTCCCCATCCCTGGAGGGATTTAAAAGCCGGATAGATGTGGTGCTGAGGGACATGGACAGGGATGGGTTTTCTCAGTGTTGGGTTGATGGTTGGACTCCATGATCTGAAAGGTCCCTTCCAGCCCAGGCAATTCTATGGTTCTGTCATTCTACGAAACCCTAAAAAAAGGTAGGTCCCTTCCAGCCCAGGCAATTCTATGATGAAACCCTAAAAAAAGGTAGAGCATCTGAATGAAGACTTACAATATTCAGGCAGGGATGTGGAAAAGAAGGAATGAACCAAGAGGAAGAGCCAACCAGAAAAGCAGGAACCTGACTGTTCGCTGTGAGTCACCCCCTAGTCCTGCCTTCCCAATTTACAACTCCTTCCTTTTCAATCCCCTGTTGTTATATCTGCCCTAAAGCCAGAGTGCAGCCTGTCACCTGCTCCCACCCCTCCTCACTGGCTCTGCTCCCACTGCCTGCTATTTCTGCCTGGCTTTTCCTGTCGGGAAAGTCATCATCTTCTTTCAGCGAGTGGGCCGGGAAGTTAATGACGGCAGGAATAAATCACATCAAGAGCACTTCGGTGGCAGTTTGTCAATGCAAGGTCATCGACAGCTTCCATTAGCAACAAGTGCTATTTCTGAGCGGAGCAGAGGCTGTAGATGCAGGAGGACAGAATCTGAATAAGTGGCAGGACTGGATTTTAGCCTGATTTCCTAAGCTGCTGTGATCTTTTTGTGTGTGTCTGTCTGGCTGCCCGCAAAGGCGTTTAAAAGTGTAGGTCCATTTCAACCAAATTTAACAGAAGGATAAGGCGTCTCCAAGATAATAATTGTTCCTGAAGGTTTCATGAAAAGAAGTGGCTGAATAGAGGTTAATAGATCAGGACATGTCATAGCTACAGGGGAGAACACTGTGTGAACTCACACCTGATTAAGCAGCAGAGAATACATGAGAGAGAGAGGGAACGAGAGAGACACACAGAGATTATTAAATGTTCTGCCCGTAAGAAAACTTTCACAGGGCAAGGAAAAAGCACCGCTGTAGCCTGAGGGATTACTCCCCGCTGAATAGCAACATCCTACAGCAAATAATCAGCCCTCAGCCTTCTAGCCATAAAATATAAATCCATTGGAAAATAGGCCATTAATTCCAATGCTCATATAACTATTTGCTTTTAATTGTAACAAGATGCTTGGAAATGCCCGCAGCTGTCAATAATAATGAACAGAAGAAAGTGTGTTGCCTTTTGCTATTAATAGTGATTGTATAATTGCTAAAAGAGTTTGCATGAAATTCATTTTAGCAACTGCAAAGTGACAAGTGATCTGAGCCACATGATTCATTAACTGAACGGTCCTAAATTATCATGAAGTACCAAGTATCATGAAGTGAGCATACGCAGTACTGTACTTATTTGGCCTCCAAAATCATCCTCTAATCTCTAGGGAGACAAGATCTTTTATTTATTTTTACACCTGAATTGTAAAATGTCAAAAGAAAAAAAGTGTCAGGAGGATGGGGTCAGGCTCTTCTCAGTAGGACAGGACAAGGGGAAACTCAAAAAAAAAAAAAAAAAGCTCCTTCTTTCACTAGAACTCTTCAGGAAAATGTTGCCAAAATTGCTCAGTGTTCTGAGGGGTCCAGCTCATAACACCATCAAAATAATTGCAGATATAGACCCTGTTGGGAGCAACCATATACCTAGAATTGTACAGAAAGCCCGGCTTCACCATTTAATCCTTTTCATCAGCAAATTAGCCTTGTGTTCTTGCATTGCTCACTTTGAGCAACCTGGTCTAGTGGAAGATGTCCCTGCTCATGGCAGAGGGTTAAAACTTTAAGGTCCCTTCCAACCCAAACCATTCTATGATTCACTTTCCCAAGGGGTATGAGGTGGGGCAGACACTCCCCTAACTCCATAGAAAGAGTGTATGAGAATGTCAAAAAGCTGTCCTTTGAGCCCAGTGCATTTACAGGGAATCATGATATGCGTTTTCCAACAACACAGTCTTGCTATAGACAACAGTGCACAGTTTTAGGGAAAAGAAGCAAAATGGTGAGAGTTCAGCTTCTCCTGCAGCACTCCTTCATTTATGATATGGGTCCAGTGACCTGTTCCTCCTAGGAGAGATAAATATATATTAAGGAGGGGGGAGACAGGCAGAGACAAACCTGATAAAATTCAGCAAGAGCAAGTGTAGGGTCCTTCACGTGGGGAGGAATAACCCCCAGCACTAGGACAGGTTGGGAGTCACCAGCTGGAGAGCAGCTCTGCAGAGAAGGACCTTGGAGTCCTGGTGGACAGTAAGTTGCCCTTGAGCCAGCAGTGTGCCCTTGTGGCCAAGAAGGCCAATGGTCTCTTGGGGGGCATTAAAAAGCATGGCCAGCGGATCGAGGGAGGTCATCCTCATTGTCCTCTGGAGTAATGTGTCCACTTCTGGGCCACCGAGTTCACGAAGGACAGGGAACTGTTGGAGAAAGTTCAACAGTGAGCTACTAAGATAATCAATGAGCATACGCAGTACTGTACTTATTTGGCCTCCAAAATCATCCTCTAATCTCTAGGGAGACAAGATCTTTTATTTATTTTTACACCTGAATTGTAAAATGTCAAAAGAAAAAAAGTGTCAGGAGGATGGGGTCAGGCTCTTCTCAGTAGGACAGGACAAGGGGAAACGGACACAAGAAGAGTCAATGCTAAGCAATATCTAAAGGGCGAGTGTCAGGAGGATGGGGTCAGGCTCTTCTCAGTAGTGCCTGGTGACAGGACAAGGGGAAACGGACACAAGAACAGGAAGTTCTGTCTCAACATGAGGAAGAACTTCTTTCCTGTGAGGGTGGCAGAGCCCTGGAAGAGGCTGCCCAGGGAGGTGGTGGAGTCTCCTTCTCTGGAGAGATTACAAACCCACCTGGACACATTCCTGCTCTGGGCGACCCTGCTCTGGCAGGGGGTTGGACTGGATGATCTCCAGAGGTCCCTTCCAACCCCTACTATTCTGTGATTCTTTGAGAAGGGTGAGCTGGGTCATGTCCTTCCTTCCCACTCCCCCCATTCCTCAGGTCTAGCACCAAGTGCCACCAGCCAAGGTCCCTTGAGAGTCCCTTGGCTCCTTCTGGCTGATAGAATTCTTCTGCTGATGCCAGAAGCACCAGTCTGTGTTGCAGCGCTGATGAGAAAAGGGTCAAACAGTCAGGAGATTTGCTACGACAGAGGTGTTATGCAGGATTGTTTACAGCTGGCGAAGGTGGACACTCTGACCTTAGAAAATGTAAGATTTATAGTTGGTGGCACAAGGCTGACATCTCTGTTGTGCACAGAGTGTAGGTTTTTAACTGCGTGGCCACAAGCCGTTTCTCCGCAGGGCTTTTGCCCAATTTTGTACACGGGGTGAATGCACAGAAGTTTCAAAGCAACTGTAAAAACAGTATTTCCAGACTTTAAAGTGTTTGGATTTGCAGCCTAAATTAACTCTGTCTCAAGGGTTTCTTTCCAGTAAATATTAAGAAATATATCAGCTAGGCCTGTGTTTGTGTGCATACGTGGGTACGTACACAGCACCCTATGGGCTGCCATGCAGAAAACAAACTCCATCCCAGCCAGACCCAGTACACACCAGTACCTACACAGGTACTGGTATCCTAGCCCTGTATTTGGCACCAAAAAACCCAAACGGTGTCAGTCACAGACACACCTGCATTTGGGGGGTAAAGCTGAGCGTAGTTTATTTTTTCATCTCAGAGATATTCTGTTGCCCAAACGGTGTCAGTCACAGACACACCTGCATTTGGGGGGTAAAGCTGAGCATCGTTTATTTTTTTCATCTCAGAGATATTCTGTTCTACTTAGTCATTTATTTAGATACACATTTTGTGTAATACATAAATGAAATTTTCCATGCCACATACATTATTATTTTTTTTTTTTTTTAATATGAACCTTGCTAAACATGTAACACTTTGAATCCGAGAAGAGTAGCTGAAGTGGAAATGTCCTGAAGGGAAAAAAGATGGAATTAGTGAAAGCGCATTTTTTAATCTTCCCCTGCAACTTCAGGAGAAGTGGGAGAAAAAGTGGAATATTTTACACATAGATACATCCACACGGTTTTCTTTAAAGCTTAACTGTTTTACCCCTACTTTCAGGATCATCTTGAATCTGGATTCGAGATGATGTATGTACATAAGTAGAACATAGCTGTGTGATGGTAGTGGGTTTTGCTAATTTTAATTAGCAAAGTCTAAACTGATGAGAAGACAAGGAGTTATCAAGGTCTCCTGCTATTAATAGAAGGAAATGATTAGCAGTGCATGTCTCACAAATCCCTGGAGTATTTTTCCTGTGAATTGCTTGGTAAGTGTCTGTGAACGCTGTCAGATACAGAACTAACCCCTAAACGAAAGTGAAAGAGGAAAAAAATACTGATTAAGTGAAGTCAAATAGATTAGTAGGACCAAAAGATGCAGAATTATGACAAATATACCAAATGCTGAGAAAGCTCTCAGCAAAGCGTGGGTGAACTTCATGCATCATCTGTTTTAGGTACAATAACTGCAGAAATTATCCAGTTATTCTTTGGCTCTTAATTGTTAAGAGACATTGCTCACCTTTGTAACTGAGACATCATCACTGAAAAAAAGCCAAATTTTTTTGGCAAAAATAAGCTAAAAATCAGCCTTTGTGGTTGCTGAAATATTTTCCATCCAAGGAAAATTTACCCATTTCTTTGCAGGGAATACAAGGAGGTACAATACGTGGCTACGTTCATGACAGGTTCTGAAAAGAAAATGCTGGAATTACTTTAATGACAAGATTTTGATATATTGTTGCTGTGAGGAGGTGATTGTGAAAGATGGCTGTGCCAAAGGAGTAGAGCACAGCGGGCTGGATGGTGAAAATTATACCTGTGTGCTTGAGTGCTTATGTGCACCCAAACCATGGGACTGTTTATACATATTATTCATCTATGGGCTGCATTGTGGGTATTTTTAGAGAATGGAAAAAAAATCCTACTTTGCATAATATCTTACTACAAAAAAACTGTTCAATTAGATCCAACTATAATTTCCCCGCTATTCTCAATTAACGATTTTTGTAATCTTTGCTAATGATGGTGAATAATACTTTAATCCATGTTTCAATGGCTTTGTTGTTTGGCCAGTTGGAAGCTTCATGAGGTGTTGTGGAGGCAAGGAAAAGGCTGAACTTGATGAGCATGAAGGGAAAGCACAGTGGAGCTCTCCATCCCCACATTAGGATGGCACCCAAAATCCTTGCTCGACCATTCCACTATGTGCTATTACACAGCAGAGGGGGCATCTGTCTACATTCAAACTGTGTTCACACCGACTTTAAAATAGTGGGAAACATTAATTTATGCAATGTGCTTCATGTACTTTCTGTTTTCTTTACACTAATTGGAGTTTATCATCGGAGATGCACATGAATAACTTCATCAGCTGCAACTGGGCAATTTTTCTTCTTTTTCTTCGCTATCTACGAGTTGCTCTTACTGTGAAGTGTGAGCAAATGTAATGGAAAGGGAAAGCAGACCAGAATATAAATAGGAAATGGGCTGTGAGAGGAGTAGAAATTTGCTTTAAATACACTCATGTTAGGTCAGATTCACTAACCTCTTCTACATGGTACTTGCAAGAAATTGCTGGTGGGCAAGGTGGAAAGAAGTTGGTATGTTTAAACATCTCTGTTAAACCATGAAAGGTACAGTGTGCACCACCATAGTTCCTGTGATAATGAGCAATCTTTTTGTTACCTCTCTGTACACAGAGATTAGCAATCCATTAATTAGACAAATCTGACCATGCAGTAGATCAGGGAAGGCTAGGTCAGGGGAGGATCTTGTTAGGTAAACAAATTTATGTCTGTATTACTTTTTCAACCTGTTTTTCTAAACTAAACATGTTTATAAGGAAAAGGGGAAAAAATCATCCCGCTTGCTGGTAAATGAGTGCAGAATATCTAGACATGATGTGTTGAAATACAAAGCTTTTCTAACCTGGACCTGGATTCCTCTGGTGTGCCAACAGACAGATTTCTTCTGCTGCTTTGTCTCGTCTTCAGTGCCAGTGACAAGATTTTTCTCCCACTGCAATCTAATTACCAGCAGAACTGGCAGGATTTCAGCTGGTACTGTATCTACAGTGCTGTTAAAAAGGAGGAGGAGGGAGAGAGAAAAAAAAGACACTTAAGAAACACTTGAAAGAAGATCAAATCATTTTTGGTGATTAGGGAGGCAACGAAATTAAATATTTCTAGTAAGAGGCTTATTTAAAGGGTTCTAACTGGTGATGTCTTTTACCTTAGGTGTGCAGAAGGCTATTTTGGACAACCTCTGATACCAGGAGGATCGTGCCAGCCCTGCCAGTGTAATGACAACCTTGACTTCTCCGTTCCTGGCAGCTGTGACAGCTTGTCTGGCGCCTGCCTGATCTGTAAGCCAGGTACCACGGGCCAGTTCTGCGAGAGGTGTGCTGATGGGTATTTTGGAGATGCTCTTGACGCGAGGAACTGTCAACGTAAGTCACGAACCTTTCCTGCTCCTGACAGTATTGATCTATCCTCTATCCGTGCGCCTGAGAGGAAGGCTGAGCCTCTGTATGTGTGAGCAGGAGAATGATACGCTCTCATAACGACAGTGTTTTACTCCCATCTGCATCACGAAAGGGAGACTTCAGAGGAAATAGAGAGAAGAACCTATTAAAAAACCTTCCTGCTGTAGTAGAAGCAGTAATGAAGCAGATATGGGAAAAACCTGAGCATTGCATGGATGCGATGCTCCTGACAGTATTGATCTATCCTCTATCCGTGCGCCTGAGAGGAAGGCTGAGCCTCTGTATGTGTGAGCAGGAGAATGATACGCTCTCATAACGACAGTGTTTTACTCCCATCTGCATCTGGAAAGGGAGACTTCAGAGGAAATAGAGAGAAGAACCTATTAAAAAACCTTCCTGCTGTAGTAGAAGCAGTAATGAAGCAGATATGGGAAAAACCTGAGCATTGCACGGATGCGAAAGGTTATACTAAATGTCAGATCTACAAAAATAAATACAAATAAATGAAAGCAATTCGCTAAAAACGCCGTAAGCCTTCCAGGAAAAGCGATCTTTAAGGTCCCTTCCAACCCAAACCTAGAATTCTATGATTCTATGATTCTATACTAAATGTCAGGTCTACAAATATAAATACAAATAAATGAAAGCAATTCACTAAAAACGCTGTAAGCCATCCAGGAAGCCATTAATTAGTGAGATTGGTGCTGAAAGGAGGGAGTGGTTTTTCAGTTACTGTAGGGTCCAGCTTTGGCACCCCTTGTGACCTCCCTCCCACCGACACGACCTTGGTAAGAGCTGGGAGCTGCTCCCTCTTTCAGGGCAGGGTTCTCCCACCTCTGGCAAAGCAGAGCCTAAATTCTGCTGTCAGATGTTCTAAGGTGCTCTGGAGAAAGAGCTGGCCCTGCAGCAAGTGACTGCTTCTCAGCTGAGTGGTGGCATGTTTGAGTGTAAGCCCCAGCTCATACTTCCCCATAGCAATGGCAAGAAAATATTGAGAGCAGGGGGAAGATCTGGTAGGAGCAGGAGCTTTCTCTTCTGTAGGAGGGGTGGCTCTCCCTGAGCCATTGCTGGCACCACTCAGAGTGCAGTGATTAAGCAGAACAAGTGTTTTTAACTTAAAAACTAACTTCACATACCCTTCCACCCCCTTCTGAGGAATGGAACACAGCAGCTTGTAAACTGTCCTCAAAAAGCTGAGTGTTTTTTTTCACTTTCACAAGGCTTTAATCCTTTTCCTTCATTGGAATAAACTCAGAGGAATTCCTTGGAATACCAAGGTGTTATATCAGGATAAAATTAGGCAAGTAAAAGAGTTGTCCCATTGCTGTGTGCCTGGGAGCACAGGGATCACTCCTGCAGGGTGTGTTGTGAGCGTGGAAGTCTGAGCATCCATTCCCAGGATTTGCTCTATTTGGGTCTTGCAGTTTGGTGCTGAGACTTCTAACTTCTGTTGATGTGTTGTGAGCATGGAAGTCTGAGCATCCGTTCCCAGGATTTGCTCTATTTGGGTCTTGCAGTTTGGTGCTGAGACTTCTAACTTCTGTTGGACCCCATCAGACTGCACAGGGCCCAGCGAGATGCAGAACATCACGGGTTTCTTAGCTAAGGCTAATAAACACTGATTAACGTAAAATCAGTGATAGGCACGAAGATACACCTGGATAAGTGCTTTCTGTACCTGCTTTATACAGTGCTGGATAAAAGTTGGACAATCCCATATATTCTCTGCACGACCTACCAGTTCATGATGGATGATGTCATATAAGTTAGGGTGTTAAGTGTGTAATGAGATTTAAAAAGAAGGGTATTTCAAAAATCATATCTTCCAGCAGCTTGTCACTGTTCCCGAGGCATCAAGAGGACTCGTGCTTTGAACATTTCTACAGTAGTGGCAGCTTCATGGGAGAGAGATGTTATAGGAGGAGAGTTGGCAAAACATACAATTAAAAAAAAAAGAGGTGTTAAAAATAAATCCATATTTAATGTAGAATTACAAGCTTTGCTTTTGTTGTTAGTACCTCTGACAAGGAGAGCCCCCTAATGTATTCACAGCCTTGTGCTCACAGGTACCTTGTATTCATCTACTCTCCCTCTTTCATGTGGGTTTTCTTCTTTGCATATGATTTTTTATTTCCTTTGCAGACTTCCATGAAGTTTGCCCTGCAGCTACAATATCAGAGGGACTGTGCCTTTACTTTGTTGTTTTCAATTTCGTTCCTTATTAAAAAGCCAAATCCTGGAGTATTGCAAAGCATGAATTTTGCTTTTAAATTACTGTTTGAAATGTTTCTTGCTCCTTCTCAGAACAGTTCTGTTGTCTTGTGCATTAACCATTTCAGATGACAGTACAGCTTTATATCACTACAGCATCTCTGAATTTCTTGGTGTATCTCTGCAAAATAACAAATCTAAGAGCACTGAGCAAACATCCTACACTGATGTAATTTGATTTTAGGAAGTTGTTTTTTTGTATGAAAACAGCAGAGTGTTACTGAAGCAAATACCTGGAGGTTGTGCTGAGTAGTTAGAAGTTAAAGCTTGGTACTGGAACTAAGTGACATGGGATGAATTAAATATTCAAGTGTGCATAGGTACTACTGTTGGAGGTGAATAAGTGTGTAGGTGAATATAAATACACAGGCGTAAATATTTTTACAGATCAAGAGAGAATGCAAAGGGTCTTAACCAGTTTCATTTTGGGAGTAAATAAGACAAATTTCTTTAACGGGCTGTATTGTATTATAGCAACCATGTGGAGGTGTGCACAAGGGCTAATTGCCCAGTGCAGGTGAATGAACAGGAAGGCTCTAGGTGAGATAAATGCAATTTATCAGATTGAGTAACAGTTTAGTAGATGACTGTATGTTGTCTCTGTACGTACCTACTGCCAGAGCCAAGGAAAACAATCAAAGCCTTCATTTCCAAATCCTGCTTTAATCTACTGCCAGAGCCAAGGAAAACAATCAAAGTCTTCATTTCCAAATCTGCTGTAGCTCTGTTCTGCACTGGGTCAGGGGCTGAGTTAACAATACACACTATGCCCTTTGTGCTAACAGATAATATAAATAGGACAAACTCATCTGTTTCTAAAACCAGTGTAAATTTTCTTTTTGATTCTTGTGGTGTCATATGCCTGACAAGCAACAGAATTCAAATAAATCAGGTGTTGCTTTTTGAGATCTGTATAAAAAGGGGGTTAATTTGCATCGAGAATTGTGGTTTTGTGAGTCTGGGCTTATGCACCATCTTCCACTGCTGACCTTTTAATTGGAAAGATACTCGAAATGTATATATGTGATACTCATCAGTGTGTACAGTTTGGAACGTTGGCAGCTTTAAAAAATAAATATTATAGCAGGAGGGCTGTATACAGGATGAAAGAGGTAAATTAGAGCTTCAGTTAGTGTTGAAAAATGAGAGTAAAAGGAAAAGAGAAGTGATGTTAACTACAGCAGAAGTGTTTTTAAATGTTTACATTTTTTTAAATACATTGCAAAACAGAAAGAGATCAAAACCTCTGAAGGTGTTAGCAGACTGATAAGAGAGCCCAAAATGTTTTTGTTACTTATTCCAGAATATGAGACATCTTTGCAAACATTGCAAAATTAGGCCAGGAACAGACTGGCAAGCCTTAAAGTCACTTAATTTAAAAGAAGCAACTTTTGCAGAATGCCTCGAAAGTGGGGAGAAGAACAGAAAATAATCCTTTCCATTTGCCATGTAGAAAGTCCAGTACAGTCATGAGGAAGCCCCTGTTGCAATAATCTCTCTCTATAAAAAATATAACTGCTTTGTCTCAAGTAGCACCTTGTGACATGCAAGTATGTGACCACCATGTGTTCACTGTGGGGACTCTGTTTCTTAAAATGGAGCTGTGACATTGAGAAAAAGACCCACGTGCAGTCAGGGCACTACAGGAAGGCAAAAAGTGAATTGGAGCCCTGGTTTACAGAGTACATTGATAATCAATATAGAGATGTGAATTCATTCCCCTCTGGG